CAGGGCTGATCTTCCTCACACAAAAACAGAACGAAACTAGGGGGCTGGCCCGGTGGTGCAAGCAGTTAAGTGCGCACACTCTGCTGCGGTGGCCTGGGGTTCGCCAGTTCAGATCCCGGGCGTGCACCGATGCACTGCTTTGCATGCCATGCTGTGGCGGCATCCCATGCAAAGTGGAGGAGGGTGGGCACGGATGTTAGCCCAGGGCCAGTCTTCCTCAGCAAAAAAAGGAGGATTGGCAAATGTTAGCACAGGGCTGATCATCCTCACAAAAAAACAAAAAACAACAAACTAATTCCTCTTCAAATGAAGCCTTTCTGTCCCAACTTTTTCACCCAGTCCATAATATCTGTCATGGTTTTGAGTCTCCTCATTCTACTGGTTGTTCTCGGAATGTGCTCTAGTGTCTCCACATTCTCTCAACTGTGGAAAATAAAACAGTATGGTAGTACAGCATGTTCTTTCCAACCCAGTCAGAATAGGGCAGGGCCAGCACCTCCTTTTTATATTCTGGGCCAGGGTTCTCCAGTCAATACCCCTGAGGAGGACTGGCTGTCTGCTGTAGGGCCATTGGCTGGGTTGAGTGGGTGTAGATGGTGCTTATAGCTGAAGTCTTTCTATTCATGCTGCCTAAGATCATATTCCTTTTTCCAGCTACAAATTGCTCGCTCATGAAGTTGTCAATTAAAACCTAAGCCAATATCAAATCTTACAATGATTGAACCTCTTAAATTCAATTTAGCAGATATTTTCCTGTGATCTTAAACCAGAAGTTAAGAAAGGTCACAGTTGTACAGAAAGGACCTTAACTGACTAAGAATAGTTGGGATGAACTAGAAACTACAAAACTAAGAATTACATGCATATACATTACCCAGACTTCCTCACACACCAGTGAGGACAAAAAAACTTGAAAAAACAGTGTGCAGTGCACCAGAGAACACTAGTGATCAGTCAAGGGGAAAGGCCCATACACTTAAAGACAGAATCTCAAATGAAACAATTTTTGATTCCTGTGGGGATGTGGGTGAAGGGTTAGTTTTCAGTTTAGTCCACTCTGTCCAGAGGCCCAACTACTCAAGGCTCCCTTCTAGACACACCAGAACAACTTACAAGGTTTGTAGTTCTTCTCATGACAAGGGGAGCTGTCCAGAGGCTTGCCATGCACGATGGGGTCTCTTCATCATTCTAAGGAAAGAGAAAAACGGTGTTACAAGGATCCAGTAGAGGGGCCGGCCCCGTGGCTTGGCGGTTAAGTGCGCGTGCTCTGCTTCTGCCGGCCCAGGGTCGGGTCCCGGGCGCGCACCGACGCACTGCTTCTCTGGCCATGCTGAGGCCTCATCCCACATGCAGCAACTAGAAGGATGTGCAGCTATGACATGCAACTATCTACTGGGGCTTTGGGGAAGAAAAAAATAAATAAACGAAATCTTAAAAAAAAAAAAACAAAACAAGGATCCAGTAGAGACTAACATTCGTTTAGCTTTAGGTGTGATTCTGCCTAGAGAGGAAGCATCTAATGTTCGCCTCTCTTCCCCACTCACCAACATTTTAAGATCAGAAGAGAATCACACTTAACACTTCAGATATCTAAGAATAGCTAAAAGAATCTCCCCTAAGGGTATGTAAGGAGGTATCCTCAGTCTCTTCAGCTTTACACCACGTGGCAGCTAGTCTCCCACTGTTCTGGTTTCACATCTTTTGCACAAAAATAGATCGTCAGTTCCTTTAGGGTAAAAAGGATCATATCAGTGTCTTTTTTTTTTTCTGAGGAAGATTCTCCCTGAGCTAACATCTGTGCCAATCTTCCTCTATTTTGCATGTGGGTCACCGCCACAGCATGGCAGCCTGCGAGTGGTGTAGGTCTGCACCTGGGAACCAAACCCAGGCCGCCGAAGTGCAACACACCAAACTCAACCACTAGGCCACTGGGCTGGCCCCATCAGTGTCTTCTTTTGAAGTCCCCCCCCAGGATTTAATCAGGATAGAAGAAGAGTCTCAATAAATTCTCACCACATGAACAAAAATATCAGCCAACTCAAGACCTGGGGAATTGCTGTTCTTTTTTTTGTGTGTGAGGAAGACTGTCCCTGAGCTAACATCTGTGCCAATCTACCTCTATTTTGTATGTGGGATACCGCCACACCATGGCTTGATGAGTGGTGTGTAGGTCTGCACCCAGGAGCTGAACCCGTGAACCCCAGGCCGCTGAAGCAGAAGCAATGTGAACTTAACCACTATGCCACTGGGCCGGCCCCTCGCTGTTCTCTTTCACATGATTTCTCCAGTGGGTAGTTAGTGGAATGGATAGGAAAACACACACACACGGTACCTTCAGATTCTCTCCATCGAGAAGGTCCATGAAGCCATCGTCCTCATCAGATAAAGTGGCAGTCACAGGTGACTGAGGCATAAAAAGAGGAATGAAATTCCCTGGTTCGCTGCTATCTCTTTCATTTGAGGAAAGCTACAAGACAGAATTCATGGCTTGTTAATAAATGATCAGCTTTGATTTCCTTGAATGGGTCACTAGTTTTTATAGGGAAAACAAACTATATTTGTTATAAGAAGTAAAATTTTAGCAGCCACTAACCAAAGGAAAATGAACCCCAAGATCATAAATGATTTGATGTGCACACACAGTCCTGAGTCAGGCCTAGTACCCTTCACAAAGAACTCTTCCCAAAAGCAATTCACTTTACAGTGGCATCTGGGGATAGCCTCTTGAGAAGCACAAGGTTTGTTTTACCAAGATTTTAACTGGTGAAGATGGATCAACATGAGAGTTGTGTAAGTATGACAATCTACTGAAATGAGGAAGGGTGAGAAGATACAAGCCTCTATGGAGACCTCAAAATGGCCTAGAGAATGCTTACATAAGTCCACTTCTCACAGAGGGAAATAAAGGGTGGCCTGGGTCTAGAAAATCTAGTTCTTTAGACTTGGAATTTAAATGACAGCTGCTCAGTTTTTTGTTTTTTTTTTTTGTGAGGAAGATCAGCCCTGAGCTAACATCCATGCTAATCCTCCCCTTTTTGCTGAGGAAGACCGGCTCTGAGCAAACATCTATGGCCAATCCTCCTCCTTTTTTTTCCCCAAAGCCCCAGTAGATAGTTGTATGTCATAGTTGCACATCCTTCTAGTTGCTGTATGTGGGACGCGGCCTCAGCACGGCCGGAGAAGCAGTGCGTTGGTGTGTGCCTGGGATCCGAACTTGGGCCGCCAGTAGCGGAGCGTGCGTACTTAACCACTAAGCCACAGGGCCGGCCCAGCTGCTCAGTTTTTAACTAGGAATTCCTCTGCCAAACACTATGATATAATCTTTACACATAGAATCCCATTTAAGCCTCACAACATACTAAAGGTAGTCAATCTTTTTTATTTAACAAATCAGCAAATCCGTGCTTGAGAGAGGTTGTTGCCAAGATCATCACACAGCTCACCTGTTTGACTCCAAAGCCCAAGCTTTTCTCCCTATTACACTCTCTCCCTAGGACAGAGAACCATTCCTGGAGTAAAAATGGGTGTATCTCATTAGGCAACCCTATATTGTTTTTTGGGGGAAACTCCTATTATAAAACTAATATATATTTAATACAGAAAATTTAGAAAAACCACTCATAAATCGACCATCTAGAGATAAACACTAATACAATTGTTGCTGATACTCAATTATTTCTTTTCCAGGTGCTTTCCAAAGCCAGGAAAAAAGTCCAGAGATATATACCGCTGAGACTAGCACTGGCTTTCTTGCAGTTTGCATCCTTAGCACCTATAATTAGGGATGGTCAAGCAATCACAGGAAACCGTGGTGCTCCTCTAGGTCTTCAAGCACACACTAAAGATGTTTAGTTTTGGATACCTGGCTCTCAAAAGGTTACTGTGTACTTGGGAATCGGCAGATTTTGTTAAATCCTGGTCTTCTATTTATCTGTGTCCTTTGGCAAATTACCCAACCTCCCTGACTACACTCTCGCAATCTGTAAAATGGAGTAACTCCAACTACTTTACAGGCTTATGAAGATTAAATACAAGAAGACATAAAAGTGCTTTGTGCAAATGCTAGACAGAACAGCAATACTGGCTGAACCTGAACCTCAGACCATAAGCCAGACTGGAAGGCTGTATTTTCAGATGCAACTTCCCAGGAAAACCTGGAAATCAAATGTGGTCTTTTTGCTCAAGTTGGACCTCTCTAGTCTATAGCTGTCAGATCACCAGTGGGAAACTTTGGAAGTAATGATAGTCTCTGTCTGGAAAATAAAAAACCCTGGGGCAAGTGGCCCCCAAATACTGTCAAGTAGCCTATAGACAGTGGCTCACTGGAATCCATTAAAAGTTCTTAATCAACTACCTTTGGAAGAAGCCAAGTGCTCTCTCCAAACAAAATCACTCTGGGAAGTACCTCTTCGCACTCAGGATGCATTGTAAAAGGGCAAGTTTTAAGTAAGACAAACAATCCCACCATACATACAATGACCCAGGATGCCTGCAGATTATTTTCCCAGAATTGACAAGGTCAAATTCCTTGCTCAAGTCCAATATTTCAAACATACCATTTCTCACTCTGCTTTTGCCTGTCTGCTCTCCAGACACAGCAAAAACACCAAAAATGTGACAATCTCGTTTCAAAAGACAAAGTCAAGGTAAAGACAGCGTGAGCTATTGTAGTGTTTTCAACTCCAGGTTAAAGATGATGCTTTAATTCTCTTCCCAGGGGCTGGCCCCATGGCTTGGCGGTTAGGTGCGTGCGCTCCGCTACTGGCGGCCTGGGTTCGGATCCTGGGCGCGCACCGACGCACCGCTTCTCCGGCCATGCTGAGGCCACGTCCCACATACAGCAACTAGAAGGATGTGCAACTGTGACATACAACTATCTACTGGGGCTTTGGGGGAAAAAAAATAAAAATAAAACCTTAAAAAAAAAAAATTTCTCTTCCCATCAGAACTCCCCTATGAAAGCCTGAGCACGTACCATCCGAGCTGGGGCAGAGTTCTGCCTCTGTGTGAAGAGATCTTTACCCTCCTCAAGTCCATGAGAGTGCAGGCAGCCACGAGATGCAGGTCTTATTGGCTTCTTAAACTCAAAGGCTTCCTGCAAGACAGCATAGTCGAGACATCTTCCACTGTTCATAAAACCAGCTCTAGGGCCTCAGCTGTAGCTCGGATAAGGTGGGCAAGTGAGTGGACACTGACTACCTGCTTAACTGCCTCCAAACTAAGGGTTTACCCATTTCTGATCTAATTCCAACACTGGATCTGGGTAACTAAGAATTTCAAAGACTCTGTCAACAGCTAACTTCCTCTTTTTTTTTTTTTTGTGAGGAAGATCAGCCCTGAGCTAACATCCATGCCAATCCTCCTCTTTTCGCTGAGGAAGACTGCCCCGGGGCTAACATCTGTGCCCATCTTCCTCCACTTTGTATGGGAGGCCGCCACAGCATGGCCTGACAAGCGGTGCATCGATGCACGCCTGGGATCAAAACCGGGGCTACCAGCAGCAGAGCGTGCACACTTAACCGCTGCGCCATGGGGCTGGCCCCCCTGTCAACAGCTAACTTTTTTTTTTTTTTTTTGTGAGGAAGATCAGCCCTGAGCTAACATCCATGCCAATCCCCCTCTTTTCGCTGAAGAAGACTGGCCCTGAGCTAACATCTGTGCCCATCTTCCTCCACTTTACATGGGAGCCGCCACAGCATGGCCTGACAAGTGGTGCCTCGGTGCGTGCCCAGGATCTGAACCCGGGCTGCCAGCAGTGGAGTGTGAGCCCTTAACCGCTAAGCCACAGGGCAGGCCCCAACAGCTAACTTCTAATGCAGCATTTTTTTTTTTTTTTGTGAGGAAGATCAGCCCTGTGCTAACATCTGCCAATTCTCCTCTTTTTTTTGCTGAGGAAGACTGGCCCTGGGCTAACACCCGTGCCCATCTTCCTCTGCTTTATATGGGATGCCACCACAGCATGGCTTGCCAAGCAGTGTGTCAGTGCGTGCCCGGGATCCGAACCGGTGAATCCCCGGTCACTGCAGTGGAGCGCATGCACTTAACTGCTTGTGCCACCGGGCCAGCCCTAATGCAGCATTTTTTTCCCTCTCACCACAAACACTTTCTTTCCTAACAAACACATGAATATTTGCCAAATACACAAAATACTGTGAGTTATAAGCTAAATCAACTTTCTAAAATCTAAAGTCTAATCAGTTCAATGTAATTGCCTGTGAATGAGAGCCAAAACTTTTCACTCTAGATTTATGTTTGAGGGCTTTATATTTTCCACTTTCTTCCTACCAGTGGGAGATAATTTTTTTTCCACGTAAAATTACTATATTCCATACTAAAAGCAATGGGGGAACAAACCCAAAGTACTAGTTTACTCAACAACTTGGATGAATCTCACATAATGTTGAGAAAAAGAAGCCAGAAGTGATAGAATACATACTGTATAATTCCATTTACTTAAAAATTAAAAGCACTTATAATCCCCCTATCCTAAATTATCCACTTAACTTGTTATTTAGGGCTCAGAGCAATAATAGCTAATATCACTGAGTATTTATATTGTCAACACAGTACTAAGTACTTCTTGTGCATTAGCTCATTTAACCAATCATCCCCATTTTACAGACGAGGAAACTAGGCCTTACAGGTTAAATGATGTGCCTAAGATCTGGCTTCGTAGCCAGACAGGACAACTCCAGAGCAAGAGCTCTTTAACTTATGCTGTTTCTCCTCTAGAATAAAACTCCAGGCAACCCTGGGAGAAGCCAAGTTCGGGCAGTACTGGGAGAACCATGCCTTGGTACAGCTTTGGACTGTTAGGTAGAAAGCACCTCACAGAGGCTGATGCAGTGTTCCAAGCACTCAAGGCAGGAACTCATTTCTGTACGCTCCCTCAGGACATCTTGCAAGTTGCCAAAGGAATGACTGAGAGAGTTCATGGAGGCAGTAGGCTTCACATCAAACCGAACTGTGGCATTTTAGCAGAAAATGGAAAAGGGGAGAAAATAGATATGGAAATAGAGTAAGAAAGAAGACTGGAAAAGTTGAGCTAATTCATTTAGCTATTTTGGATGCCTACCCTGTGCAAGGCACCCTGCCAGGTGTGAGAGCAAAGTCGGGCCAGGGTGTTCTTGGACTTTGGGATCGACAACCACAAGCTCACCCTCTGAGCTACCATTTCAGTTACTCTAGGATTCCCTGGGACTTGTTGGCCCTGTTCTTTCAAATACTGTCAAGAAGTGTTTTTGTAAGCTTACAACTCATCCCAGGGTCAGCACAAAGAAGCAAGGAAGGCCTGGGCAGACCTTTCCAGATGAACTACTCATGGATATAATAACTACTATCTGAGCAACTCCTACCTGCCAGGAAGGACTTGAAATGCTTTATCTACATTATCTTATTTAACTCCCATAACAGCCCTACAAGGTACTGCTACTCCTATTTTACAAATAAAGAAACAAAGAAGCCTAAAAAAAGAAATAACTTGCCAAGATCACATAGCTAGTCAGCAGTAGGATCCAAACGCAAGTTTCTCTGCCTCCAAAGACCATCATGACTTTGGTGAAGGTTTAGAAAGCAGCCCAGCCACTTCTCTGTGAGCCACTGACACTTGTGGGCTTTTCCTCTGCCCTAGGTTAGTATATTGATGCCACACTCACGTTTTCCTTGTTGTCATCCTGGTCGATCAGCTGAAAGACATCATGATCAAGAGAATCGGAATGGCTCCTCTTCAGCGCTGGGCTACACCCCAAGAGCTTCTGCTATCAAAGTGAAAAAAGGAATTAGGGTACATAAACAAAAGTTCAATGGAAACTCAGTTCTCTAAAGGAAAACCACAACAAAAAAAAGATGGTGGGGGTGGGGACTAGCTCCTCACACACTGTAGCAGGTAACCAGTAAATGTGCCAGGGCTCCACCTTGCCAGAACACAGTTCTCACCACATGGCTTTATGCCTAACTTCACAACATCTACAGCCCTCTCAACAGGGATTTAGGGTGTCAAATAAACCCCAAAATAACATCATTTGCACAGAAAGAACCCCTCCTGGTTTGACAAAACTGTGTTAGAGATGGAGCAAAAGCCCTCAAGAGGCAGCCATTATTGAAGTTGCTTTAGGTACAGTGTTTTGACTGCTTACAAGGCTAGGTTTTCCTTAATCTTCACTGTCTAAATTACAGTCTACTATCAAGGTCACAGTGGTAGGTAAGGGGTAGATAATAGGTATTAGCTCAAAACAAAAAAGGGAACTAACTTACAGGCAGGGAATTTATTCTCTTCATGGGATTTTCAAGGCTGCAATGAGATCAGAAGGTAAATAATGAGAATAAAACAAATAAAGAGGTTTTCACATTAGCAGATGCATAGTGTCTAACCTATACTTTGTGGGGGTAGGGGAGACAAATATATTCCCATTTTAGGCAAGATGAAAAAACAGATTTTTGAAGCTGTCCTGTTCTCACGAGCACCCCCAACGCTGGGCTTCTAGGCGAAAAAAGCAAGCCCAGGTCTTCTCTTAAAATACGCTCATTTTTGGGGCCGGCTGGGTGGTGCGAGCGGTTAAGTGCGAGCGCTCCGCTGCAGCGGCCCGGGGTTCATGGGTTCGGATCCCGGGCGCGCACCAACGCACCGCTTGGCAAACCATGCTGTGGCAGTGTCCCATATAAAGTGGAGGAAGATGGGCATGGATGTTAGCCCAGGGCCAGTCTTTCTAAGCAAAAAATAAATAAATAAATAAAAGAGGAGGATTGGCAGATGTTAGCACAGGGCTGATCTTCCTCACACACACACACAAAAATACGCTCATTTTAAGGCTATGATGTCAGAAGGTGGAGCAAGGGTTTGGGTGAGACTGAAAAAGAACACCAAAATTAAAGCTAAAATAAAAGCTAAAATAAAGAAAGAGAAGCTCTCAAAACTGCTGACACAAACTACCCATTCTCAAAAGGTACCAGACTGTTTATAGGATATAGATCCAGGAGGCTTACTAGGGACAGCTAAATCTAGAGCTCCAGTCCAGAGCATGAAGAATTTCATTAAAAAATTAAGAAACATTTTTTTCTATAATGTACAACAAAAATTTCACAATAAATAAAAAAAATGGATAAGAGGTAACTTCTATACACACTTTGTGTTATGAAATAAATGTCATGGAAATGTAAAAAAAAAATTAAGAAATGTTTTTTCTAAGCACAAACATTTAAAAGCAGTGAATATATACTTTTCTTTACTGTCCAAGGGTCCAGGAGAATCCAGACAGAAGCCTGTGGGAAATTAAAAAAATCTCTCAGGAAATAATACATGAAACACCATCTTGTTATTAAAATAAACAAATAAATAAAACTACTAGTACTGTTTCTTTAAGCCAGTCAACACAAACTTATGGCTTGGACTTTTGCCAGAATTGAAGCTGTATCTCTACTTGATTGTCAAAAACTTTATATTTGCCCAAGTCTTAATATTTTCATAGTATATCTACTAATCCCCCTTTCCTTGCAAATACCATCAAGAGTGTGAATTAATTAATTAATTTTTTTCTCCCAAAGCCCCAGTAGACAGTTGTATGTCATAGCTGCACATCCTTCTAGTTGCTGTATGTGGGACGCAGCCTCAGCATGGCTGGAGAAGCAGTGCGTCTGTACGCGCCCAAGATCCGAACCCGGGCCGCCAGCAGCGGAGCGCGCGCACTTAACCACTAAGCCACGGGGCCGGCCCTCAAGAGTGTGAATTAAACCAAACCTTCTCATGATTGCTTGGTTATTCAGATAGAGGTTACCCAGGTAACTTTCTAAATGTGAGTTCCAACCATGGAAAGAATAGGTACCAGTTTTCTGGAATAGCTTTGATTTCAAGTATTTTATTTTGTCTGATCATATGCACAATGTTGGGGTTTGGAAAATACAATTATGTCATCTGACAAGCAAGGCAAGTATTTATTGACTTCAACAAAATAACACCAAGTGAGGTGACCATCTCACCAAAGGCAGCAGGGTGGAGACACTGCTCAGCGTGGCCCAGACCCACCAGTGCCTGCCTAGCACATACCTTTCCTCCATGATGTCTATATAACCTTACAGGAAGTTAGGTGTTAGCTCCTGACTGGTATTCTCCCTTGCCACACTGCCACAAATGAGAATCCTATCCCTAGTTCTTATGCCTACATTTGAAGACTTGCTCTTGCAGTTTCCTAACCTAAAGCATATGTGCAAATACAGATAAACTCTGCAGTAACATGAATTTATAAATTAGAATAAAATGCACTGGCAAATTTCCTCCACAGCAGGCAGGCTCACTGAAATAATTTCATTATATTTCAGATGCCAACAATTTGACCCTGTATTTTAACCAATGAGATTTTTGGAATGCCACTTATAGTGGTATGGTTAATTTTACCCTACTACGCATCCTCAAGACCAAACACACACCACCTCATAGCAGACACTTGTTTCTTCTCTTCATAAACTGCCACTGGGACTGCTTTGTACTGTTCTTAAGGGTATTAGTCACTCAATGCCATGACTTCTCTGTTTATTGTCTCAACTACTCACCAAACTAAGTTCTTAGGTGAAGGGGCATGTTTCAGCAAATTCCAAGTATTGCTCCCAACAAAGCAGACACATGATAAATATCGAAGACTAAAAGAATACCTGAATCGGTTGACTCGGAGGAACCCATTCTCTGCAAACTGCTGTTTTTCACCTCCAGTAGCTGTTCACACTCACTGAAACCAAGAGAAATAATTGTCTCTATATATTTCTAGGACATAATTAAAAGGTTACATACAGGAGACAGGCCATGAGGTTAGCAAGTAGGCAGGCTGCCATCAACCATCATAACTTCTAGGCCACACCACAGAACACTTTGCCACCCAGAACGGCCAGTTAGCACTAGAGCATAAAGGGAGATGAGAAAGGAGTGGGTGGGCATGGCCTGGGTCACATTGTAGGACAGGATGACTATGATGATTGTTGGAGTATTTCCTGAAATGAGAGCATGTGTTCTAGGTACTGTGCTAGGAGCTGGGATGAAAGATGAATAGGACAAATTCCTGCTTTCCAGAGGTTGGAAAACGTATAAGTCACGTGCTTACTTAGAAAATGGGATGTCCAAGATTGAAGGGAAAACAGCTTCACCAGAAACACTGTAGGATGCATTTGTTGCTATAAGGAAAAGTTTAGGGAGCTTTTGAGAACGGAAAGTTGAGTAAAAAGGCCTGGCCTTATTACGGAAACCACCGGGGTGGACATAAGGAACGTGCACGGGGCGAGAGACTGCGACGATTTTGCGCAAACGCCAGGAAAGAAAATGCCACGTCTCTTTGTTGAGAAGGAACAAAGCTCACAGGAAACTACGATCCTGTGAGGTGGTTCAGCAAAGGGTGGAAGTGAGCGCCTAGAAGGGCCTGCTTTTCCCCCGTGGGGCTAGATTTCAAAGAGCTTCCTGGGATAGGGACAGAAGAGTACAGGGCAATCCGAAAGAGGTGGCGAAGGCGGGGAGCCGTGGCCGTCCTCACCCACTACCGGGCCTGGCTTGGGGATTGAGGGCGGTCTTGGAGGATCCGAACGGCCTCTCCCGCCCAACATTCCGCCTACGGGGAGGGTGCACATGGTGAGCCCCCGCCTGATGCGGGCGGCAGGTCTCGCCCCTCTCCCGGCCCATTTCCCGGCCTGATCTCCCCGAGAGCCGTCTGGGAGGCCAGCGGCCTGCGGCACTGCTCGCCGGTCCCTCCTCACCTGCCCAGCCCCTGCAGCTGGTCCATGGTGACCGTCAGGTTGGTGACAGGCGACAGGCCCCCGGCGGCTGGCGCGCCGAACAGCGCCTTTGCGACGGGCTGCGGCGCGGGAGGGGGGCTGCAGGCGAAGAGCAGGCGGCGGCGATGCGGGGGCTCCGGGCCCAGTTCCATGGCGGCACCCAGCCTCCCAAGGCTCCCGCTCCCTCTTCCTCCGCCTCCGCCGCGCCCGCCCCGCCCCGCCGGCACCGGCCTCGGCCGCGCGCCCCTTAGCCGGCGCCCGCGGGTCAAACACAAACACGATGTCGCGGTTCAGGGACGCGGCTGCCGCGGGCAAGCGGCGCGGACGGGCGAGTGTCCGGACCAGGTAGGCGCCAGCCACACGCACGGGTGCTCCCCCCTCACCCCGCGAGGCCAGCGGCGGGCGGGCGCCGGCAACCTGAAGATTAAATCCAAACAAACGCGGAGGGTCAGGAAGGGAGAGCGGCCAGAGCCGCGAGTCAACGGCCTGGGCTCACACTCTGCTCGCTTTTCTCTCACCCCCTTGCCCAGCCCGAGGTTGCAGAGAACCAAGCCGACCTTCACCTCCCTCTGGCTGTCGCTGCCAAGGTGGCCTTTCGCGGTAATAGCTGCTCACTGGGGACCGCCACTACCCCGCCCCCTTTCCTAGTTGGCGCCAAACGGAATCCACCAATCAGTAAGTAACTTCTCCTCCTCGCACCCGAATGGCAGCTAGACTGGACCAATGAGAGGGGAAGAAGGAAGCAGCTCGCGGGACTCCGCGAGGTCACCAGCTCTCAGAAAGGGGCGGGGCCTAGAGGAGACCTGAGCTGCTCGGAATGAGAGGGAGCTCAGAGGTCAATGAAAACTCCCGGCAGAACTTGCGAGGCTCCGGCCTGACCGGAAGGCGCCTCTTGACCCGTTGCATGCTGGGAAGCGTAGTTTGCACGTCACGCAGCGGTCAGGTGACCTCCAACCCGCGTTGGGCCGGGGAGTCCCGAGTCCCATAGGCTGAGGGAGTGTGGAAGATGGATAAGGTTGTGCCGGCCACTGGGGACCCGGCTGGACCCAGCCGTGACTCGACTTATAACCGTGCAGTAGTGTGGACCCCTCTCTTACGCCTTGGGCCTCTCAGCCCCGGTTTTATAACGAGGGAGGGAACTGAATGACCCGAGGACTGGGCTCTGCCTCCCGACAGCAGGGCCCAAGTCTCGGGCGCTAACACTCCTGTCCACCGCTTCTGTCCCAGCGGGCCATCAAAGATCCTGCAGGCTGTGGCGACCACAAGCCGCTGACCGCAAGACTTGACCCTACAATCCGGCCTGGGCCGTGGGCCTCAGTAATCTTAGCGCACTTCCATTTTAGCTCCTACTATATTTTCTCAGAATCATTTCCTTCTCTGCCACCCTTTGGTACCCCATTGGTTGCTCCTATTTAGCAGTACCATAAATATAATAATAGCTAACGCTTATATAGTGCTTATGTGCCAGACACTGTTCCAAGTGCTTTATCTGTCTTAATTCATTGAATCCTTACAACAACACTGAGTGAAATTATTCCTGTTTTATAGGTGACTGCATTTATTTTTATATCCCCTGCTCCAGTGGCAGCTCCTAGAATAAATGATTTTAGTAGAGGGGCATTGGTACAGCAATCAGGCTGCAAGAGGACTTGTCTTTAGACAGCATGTTTAGAACAGACACTCTGCTTATTTAGATTGTATATTTCTTTCTTTATTTGAGGAAGATTGGCCTTGTGCTAACATCTGTTGCCAGTCTTCCTCTTTTTCTTTTTTCTTGCCAAGGCCCCAGTACGTAGTTGTATATCATAGTTGTAGAGTTGTAGCTCTTCTATGTGGGATTCCGCCTCAGCATGGCTTGATGAGTGGTGAGTAGGTCTGTGCCCAGGATCCAAACTAGTGAACCCCAGGCCGCCAAAGGGGAGTGTGTGAACTTAACCTCTCTACCGCTGGGCTGGCCTCCAAATTGTATATTTATTTTAGGTGTTTGGTAGAGATTATGATTACTACCTCTGCGTAAGACCTACCATTAAACTTATTAAATATTTGAAAAGCTTTTGTTTTCAAAGGTTTGTATTATGCAAATAATACAAAATAATTATAGCCTTAGGAAATACGGATAAGCGTAATTTTAAAAATCATCTGTAATTCTACCATCTTCAGAGAAACGATTGTCAACATTTTGAACTTTTTGTATGTGTGTGCACTGTAAGTATACAGTCAATAATTGTTTCACGGTCAAATAAAGGAATGGAAAGCCCTCCCTCCTTGCTGGACATTCCCTGAATGGGATCAGCCCAAGTGGATTAACATACTGGAGTATTTCCACCAGCAAGTCCAAGTATTGAAATAAAAACTTGGTGTAAGAAATGTCAGAGAACCATTGTTTTTTTTTCCTTCTTAAAGGTTGACTGAGGGCCGGCCCCGTGGCTTAGCGGTTAAGTGCGCACGCTCCGCTACTGGCGGCCTGGGTTCGGATCCCGGGCGCGCACTGACGCACTGCTTCTCCGGCGGTGCTGAGGCCACGTCCCACATACAGCAACTAGAAGGATGTGCAGCTATGACATACAACTATCTACTGGGGCTTTGGGGGGGGTGGGAAGGAGGATTGGCAATAGATGTTAGCTCAGAGCCGGTCTTCCTCAGCAAACAAAAAAAAACAAAAAACGAGGATTAGCATGGATGTTAGCTCAGGGCTGATCTTCCTCACACAGACACACAAAAATAAAGGTTGACTGAAGTGTTGAGGGTGATTTTTATGTTTGGGCATCTTCAATTGTGAAATGGAAGCAAAAGGAAAAGCGTAATTTAACCAAACTCTTTTCCTCATTCACTTAGGCATGGTCTCCAAAATCCTGGAGCAGCACTAGGGGAAGGGAAGAGCCCTGCACTGTGAATTGGAAGGTCTGAGTTCTAATCTGGTTCTGCTTTGGGGCAAATAAATTTTTGCTCACTCCTTCATTGTCTACTGAGAGCCTACCAGTTTGCTAGGTCCGAACAGATAGGGTCAGTGCTTCCTTGGAGATTTGCCTGGAATGCCCTCCTCACTGCCATACTCACTTCACTCAGCTAACACCCACCCTTCCCAGGTAAGCTTTACCCTCAGACACCCTGGCTGATACATTCCCCTGTTATCATCCACCTTCCAGGCACTGCATGTTTACATTTGTTTCTGTGATTATTTAATCAGGGTGAGTACCCCCAAATGACTATAAACTTGAAAGGGTAGGGACCTGCCTTTCTTTTCCCTACTATAGTACCACCCAGTACCTGGTTCAGGGGACCCCTCAGTACATGTAGACAGAATACATGCTGCAAAGAAAAAGTGTGAATGCTTTAAGAGTGTTTAAGAAGGGAATCTGATCTGGTCTGGTACATCAGGGAATCCCTGAGGAGGTGTCCAGAAGGATAAATCCTTAGAAAGTGGAAGAAAGAGTGTTCTGGGCAGAGGGACAGGCCCTAAGCAAAGGCTCTGAGGCTAGAAGGCGTCCCCTGTGTGTGGCAGAGAACAATGGAAGAAGAGGAGGTTGGGGAGGGCCCAGACTCTGCAGGGGCTGTAGAAAACATTCTGGAACTTGGACTTTATCTCAAGGGCAATGGGAAACAATTGAAAGGTTTACATTTACATTTTGAAAAGATAACCCTGGCTGCAGAGTGGAGAACTGATTAGAGAGCAGCAATGGTAGAGCTGGGGAGACCAGTTTGGAGGGGATCACAAGGTCCTACCGTGAGATGGTGGTGACTTGAACTAGGGAGGAGATGATGCAGAGGGGGAGAAGTAGGCCTCAGTTTCTACCTGTGAGTGGTGAGAGAGGTGGAATACAACTGTGTCTCTCAAGCAGTGAGGTACCCCAGCAGGGCTCCTGGCTCCTCCCTGCCACTCCTTGAGAGCCACAGAAACTCACCTTTTAAATCTGCGTTATATATCACAGGGCCCATAGATTTTATTTGGAGAAAGTATTCCCCTTGTTAAAGACAAAAGTAAATTGGGGCCCGCCCGGTGGTGCAAGCGGTTAAGTGCACGCGCTCTGCTGCAGTGGCCTGGAGTTCGCTGGTTAGGATCCCGGGCATGCACCGATGCACCGCTTGGCAAGCCATGCTGTGGCGGCGTCCCATATAAAGTGGAGGAAGATGGGCATGGATGTTAGCCCAGGGCCAGTCTTCCTCAGCAAATAAGAAGAGGATTGGCAGATGTTAGTTCAGGGCTGATCTTCCTCACACACACACACAAAAAAGTAAAAAACAACAAAATATTTCCCATCAATTTATTAGGCTTATTTTCTGTAGAAAAAGAAACATTCCTTTTCTGTTCAATGGTTTACATGTGCCCATTCTCCTTTCACACAACTGTGCTAGTAGTAGGATTGGATTTATTCTGCATGGTTACAGGAAGCAGCATGAGCCTCCTTGGAGGCTACAAGGTTTCAGTTTAACACTAAGAAGGAAAGCCAGAACTACCAGAGCTTTTCAAGATGGAATAAATAGCCCAGGAAGCTATATAACCAGTGTCTTAGGTACTGTCGAGGTAAGGAGGAGTACCTGGAATCAGAGGTTCCCAAATTCTTGTTCTACATTGCAAACATCTGGGGAGCTTTGACTTTTATTTATTTATTTATCGAGTAGGCAGTCCATTTGCATGGTACAAATTTAAATGATAACAAAAAAACGCATGGAGGAAATCTTGCTCCTATCTCGGTCCGAAGCTACCCTGTTTTCCTCCTTGGTGGTCTCCTAAAGTGTGTCTATGCTAACAAGTCTATGTACATATTCTCTCAAACAAACTTTTTTTTTTTTTTTTTGTGAGGAAGATCAGCCCTGAGCTAACATTCATGCCAATCCTCCTCTTTTTGCTGAGGAAGACTGGCCCTGGGCTAACATCTGTGCCCATCTTCCTCCACTTTATGTGGGACACCCCCACAGCATGGCCGGACAAGCGGTGCATCCCTGCGCGCCTGGGATCCGAACCTGGGCCCCCAGTAGTGGAACGCGTGCACTTAACTGCTAAGCCATGGTGCTGGCCCCTGTATGACTTTTAAGGCCATTGAAGACCAGAGATCGCAGACATTATTCTAATACATAATTTGTATTTGAAATGGATTGTGCTGAGTAGGATGGTATTCTGAGCACAGGTAAGTCCTGTCTCGTGGCTAAATGTTTGCTCTGGGATGATGAACTTTTCTAGCAGAAGCCTCCCCATTCTTTCACGAGTGAGTGCTTCCTGAACAGTTTCACCCACCCCCAGTACTTCTTCAGCCTCCTCCCTTATCCCACAGAACTCCCAAGTCCGTATCTCAACTGGAAGCTCTGTCCTGAATTCCAGCCCCTTGACTGAATTCACCAAGTATGACCTACTGGCAACTCAAACTCTCCTTGCCTCAAGTCCACTTCTCTGTTTACTTCCAAACCTGCTACCCTCCCTAGTGCCCTTGGCAGGAAATGGCACCTCTGTCTACCCATTCTTCCTCCCTGCTGCTGCCCTGATCTAGCTGGCCTCCCAAGCCTTGACCCCAAATGATCTTTCTAAATGCAAATCTGATTTCCTCCTCCCACCCACTGATGAAATCCCTTCCTGTACCCACCCCATTGCTTAAAGCAGG